CATGGTCATCGGGACAGGAAACTTTCTAGAATTTAGAACTTTACCCATTACTTTGTATACTAGCTGAAAACATCATTTCTAATGGAGCACCAGTCTATTTCAGCAAATGCAAGTAAGTAAAACTCATGGTAAGTTTAGATAGTCTAAGTGCCTGCAAAAGTAAATGGAAGCAGAGAAAAGGAGCTACGAGTGCATGCGTGGTTGTATGTGTATGTGTATGAGTATGAGTGTGTGTATATATGTGTGTGTGAGTGTGTATGTATGAGTGTGTATATATGTGTATGTGTGAGTGTGTGTGTGTGAGTGCTGATGTTTTATGTAAGAAGGCACACATTGGCTCTCTTCTGTCAATGTCTATAAACATCTGAGAGTAGTTATTCTTTTGCCTATTACCTGTAACAAGCAGTAACCTTGAAGAATGCTACTTGAGCCTTTCAACTTTAGTATAATATGAGGCAGAGGCAGAGGCAGCTACATGCCACACAGTTAATAGGAGAGTCTAGTAAAAGGCTAATTCCTTAACAGCTGTTTTTTGGCAGTAGATTGACTTGAATATAATAGGCAGACACATAGCTTTCAGAGTTGCCAACTATAAGTATGTTTCTTTACTTTGCTGTCTATCAAGGAGCAATTACTTTTAAACACAGGGTCTCATTATGTAGCCTTGGCTGGCTTAGAACTCACTATGTAGACCAGGCTGGCCTTGAACTCAGAGATCTACCTGCCTCTGCCTCTCTGCATCCTGAGTGCTGGGGCATGTGCTCCACCACTCCTGGAAAGGTCCTATTTTATGGATGGTTTTACTTATCAGTGTTTTCTACCCTAGCAGCTCCATGTCTAGTGGGACCTGAGGCCACTGTTCAAATCCCCAGTGGGTGGTTACATCTGCAACACATGCTTGGCTGACAGGCTTCTGAGGGAAGGGCAGTCTCTAGCAAAGTGGGGGTCTCAGCCTTGAATGTATGGGATGAGGGTGGAGGCTGTTCTTGAACGAGCAGCAGAACCAGAAAGGACTTTTATGACCATTACCTGAGATTGCTCCTGACACTGAGTCCAAACCCAGTATGTGAAATGCTTTCACTCCTTTTTCCTAGTTGGGGATTTTCCCTGATAGGGAAGGGAAAGGGAGTGTTTGCAAGCCCTGTCCCATAATGTAGTCTGCTGATGGCCCTATGGAAGCCAGTCCCTTGGGATGATAGGCAACTGTACGCCGCCATTAGGGTCCTATAAAGTGTCACCAGAAGCAGCTGCTGAGGGAAGTGCCGAGGGAAAGGTCACTTAAGTAGTGTGGAAAACATTCCTGTACTCCTCATCATCCTGGGGCTTGATTCCTGCTGAACTGTTCAGAGTTTGGAAGCCTGGATGCTGGAACTGAAGTACTTATGGCGCTAGTTCTGTAAATGTCTTTTGTGGAGCTCGGTGCTGTTCGCACAAAGGGATGGAAACAGACTTACTAAAACTATCATTACCAACTTGAGAATAGGAATTGGTGAATGATTACAACGATAACAAGTTTTAAATGTATCACCAAAGGGAAGGGACTTTGCTGTCTGAGTTTTTTTGATAAGGTTTTGTGCTTTCCTCTCCAGTTTTTTTCTCTGAGGAGACCTTTCTAATAGCTCATGCATCATACGGGTTAAAAGGAAGTGCAAACACAATTAGCCCAGAAAATCGCAGTCCTTTCCAGACCCTTCTCTTTTGTGCTATTTATGACTAGTCTGCCTGATTGTTTCAAAGTAAGGAAAAACTTGGGTTTCTTATCTATACTTCATCAGGGAAACCGATTTGATTGTGGCGTGAACCTGACAACGAGGGCTACAACTCAACTGGACTACCAATAGTCTGTGTGTCAAAACTCAACACGAAAGGCAAGCTAGTATATGCCGGTGGACTTAAAGGCAGTGTTTGCCTACTGAAACACTGGCTTTTCGGAAATCACATACACAGCATCCCTTTGCTTCCATAAGAAAATGTCTAAGCCCCCGAGTGAAAGGTTCAGGCATCACACTGGCCTGCCCCTGTTACCTGGCAGAATGCACTCAGGCAGCTCTCTGGCCAGCCCAGAGTTCCACGAGAACCAGTCTGCACGCAGGTGCAAAGGACCCCTTTAAAAGACAGACCCCGGCCCACTTAGGTTCGTTCATCTCACGCTTACCTCTTCTCTCTCACTCTCCTTACTTCTCACTCCTGTCTTACCTCTTAAGTCTCCACTCTCTCCTCTCTCTCCACGTCGTCCCCCCCCTGCTCTCCCGCTGCTATAATAAGCTATGATTAATGGATTAATGTGTTCTCTATGGCTGTGTTCTCCATGGCTTGTGCTCCATCGCGCCGGTTCCTGGTCCTGGCTCGTCGCGCGGCCTACCTATTCCTTGTTTTTAATTTTTAAACTTCTACAAAACAACAACATGTAGCTCTGACATGGAGGCTTCATGATTTTCTGCTTTGTTCCTCTCTCTTCCTCATTGTTCATCTGGGCATTTTGGACTATTGTGTTGTTGGGGTCACGCTTGCCAGAGGCTGGGCTCCTGAATGCTAATGACTCATTAGTGCTCAGGAAAGAGTGCACAGTGGGTGTGGTCAGGGTTCTCGCTGGGAAGATAGGTTGTGCTGAGGCTTTGGTTTAAGTCTTAGATTCTAAGACAATATCTGTTCCAGGCTGGGAGTCAGTGGTTAACCCAGCTGAGGTCTGTGGTCTAGGACTGCCCACAAGGCAGCAGATTTGTAGGATCTCTGCCACTTTTTAGAGTTAGGGCATGCACTTCTTGCTGCCCAGACCTTAGAGGTCTTCTGACTTGCTTACCACCCCTTTGCCCTCCTCCTTCCCCCCTTTTCCTTTGCAGAGCATGGCAGACACAGTTTTCCTGGACTGCCTGGGTAGCTTGGAGTTGGACTTTAGGCTTGTGATAAGTCAAGGGACAGACTGTCTCCTGAAGATAAGGCTCAGCATTAATATCCGCAACCCACGTGGAGATGCCTTTTGACTGCTTCTGTTAAACTTACTTTCATGGGAGAGTAAAGTAATTATTTGAACTGTCTGTTTCTAGCTACTCTTCCTAGGCCATTTTTCACCCAGGAAGGCTTATTAATGTTTTATGACTATTGAGTAATTTAGAGGAATATTTACCACCCACAGGGACCTCCCTTAATAAATCAAATCTGGTCCCATCTGGAGATGAAGCCATTAAGTAAGGCTTGGGAAGCTGAGAGTTTGTTTGAAGGCTGCTGCTGATTTTGGTCAGCAGATCTGTTTGGTTCCCACTGTGTATGTCTGGGAAGGTCCTTCCTCCAGCCCATGTGTGTATCCAGGTGTGCACAAGGAAAGTAGGCTCCAAAAAAAGGAACACAGAGAGAATCTCTTGCCTGTCCCTGGAGCCATTACTCTATGATTAAAATCTCTTGTCAGTTGATTTGTTCAAATCCTAGCACCTTGAATATTTTCTTCTTTGATTGGCTATATTGTTGGTAGGATTTATCTAGTAATTCTGAAAATATGGGGGAAAAAAGAACAAGAGGGAAACCAATTATCCTCATTTTACAAGATCAAAGTTCAAAGTGGGCTGTTTTACTAATTAACCTGATGTGTAGATTTGAGTAGCAGTTGTGGCCCTAGAGGTTAATGCTTGCTTCCCGAAGCCTCTAAACTTCATGGACAGCATTCTAAGACCCATATGCAGTTTAGTCATCAAATTTCCACCCCACATCCCAAACCAGAAATGAATAGAAAACCCCAAGCCTCCAAAACCTCAAATGAAGGCTTTTCCAATTCATAGAAAGAAATACTGTGATGGCCACCAGCCTTTCAACAACATGGGATTCATTATCCTAGCAAAAATAACAATACCCCTAATCTAGTTTCATGGCTCCAATGGAACCAATTTACATAGAAAGGCTGATATATTGCTCTGCATTTCTCAGCCCCACCAACCTCCTACAGAGATGGGGCTGGGCTACTAGTTTGAGAAAATGAACCCAACATTCTTGGAACTTGAATTCTCACAGTAGTACCACCAACTCATGTTGTAACAGGACTGGCAGAAATGCAGATTTTCTAAAGAGATAGGAGTCTGTCTCTCAGTGTGACTATCTGACCATTCAAATAGTAGTTGCCAAAGAAATGGGAGTTTCCCCAGGCATCTTGTGCTGGGAGAAGGAAAAGGCCCCAGCCAGAGGGGGACTTGTCTCTAGGAAAGCCATTTCCCAAGGTTGCAACAGCTCCTCAGGTCACTTTAAGCCCAGACAGTGATGGGTCAGTGGTGGGTGGAGCCACACCTTGATTTGTGCTGCTTAGCAGTGCACATTTTTGCCCCTCTATTTAAATTTACACTCAGCTCAGAACCCCAAAGTCAAACTTGGGGAGTTCTCTGGATCGCTTTCTTCCCTTTCCCCATTCGGCCACGATGCATGCATCTCCTTTTTCCTGCTTTTTCACGTTAATTTCGATCTTTTAGTTGACTTATTGAAGACAGCTGGCCAACTGTAACTAAGGGCACAGGTTGGGACCCCCAAGTTTTATAACAATGTCTTCTTGGTTCATAGGTAAATTTTGACTTAAGAGTAAGCAGTGTGAAATAAATCAGGAGAAAATCATTCCTCGGGATTGTTGGAATCCTGGTGCAATTACACACAGCTACCAGGGAGTTCAGATGAAAAGGAAGCTGGATATCACCTGTGGATACAGACGGGCTGACACTCTTTGAAGCTATCTTGCAATTACTTTATCCTCACTCATCCTTTGTGAACTTTCCTATGGAATAAAGCCTATGATTTTTGAGTAGATTTTACTTTTGGTATTAAACAACAAAAACAAACCAAAACAACCCTCCCTTAAACAAACAAACAAACACCAAAATCCCCTACAACTCCCACCATATTGTAGAGCCAAATTTGAGTGACTCTGGCCTGGGAATACAGGTTTAGGGTACCCTCAAATTCCATGTTCCAACATGAAAGAAGTTTAATAGTTTGCGGAACAAAGAAAATTAAAGTCAAATTTTACTTACTTGATTTTGTTGAAATTTAAGGTGCATTTTAAAGTTCATTGGTGGGTCCATCAGAGGCAGTTTAAATCAAAATGGGGAAGTTCTCCTACAGGTCTCAGACGCTTTCCGAAACATTCTTAGCTTTTGGGTTGGTGGAAGCTAGTGGTCTGCTAAGATAATAGATTCCTATATTTTTAAAAAAGTTTTTGAGATTATAATTTAAGCATTTCTCCCATCCCTCTCCTCCCTCCAAACTTTCCCATATACCCCTTCCTGCTTTCCTTAAAAATTCATGGCCTCTTTTTGCACTACTTACTAGTCCAAGCATAGATGTATATTACTTACTAGTTACAGCTTGCTAGTTCTGACACATAAGGGGGCAAGGAATGGCTGGCTGTCCAGGGGAGCCTCAAGTTAGCCAGAGATGAGGTGATTAGGCTCTGGACCAACAACATTCCAACCCCTCCACATCACTGCAGTTCTGATCTGTCAACTGGTCTTTTCAGATCCAGCCTCTTTCTATGTCTCATCTGAAGGGTCTGGTTGAAGACTGGTGTAGCAGAACAGTGAAGAGTCATAGTGGGTCAGGACTTCCTAAGGTATCTTGGGACTAGAGTGGGGATGACAAGGGATGGTGTATGAAATAAGGTTTTTTGACCAAAGGAATTGGAGAGCTGAGCCTTTTGGTAGTGAGGCTCTCAGGAAGAGTCTAGAATGGATCTGTTGGTCCCAGCGAGGACTGGAGAAAGGTAGCCCAGGAAGCTTAGTACAAGTCAGCCAGACTCACCCATAGAGGGACAGGAAGAGGCATATGGCTTTAGGGATCTTTTCCATGAGAATTGAGGGCACAGGGGTAATAGATATTTAAATTATTTTACTTGACACAATTTTTCATATTCATGGGGCATCTTGTGATATTTTGATACATATACATCTTTAGTGAAATAAAGATAATTGTCCTATCACTTCACAAATTTATCAGTTTGTTATAATATTCAGGATCTCTTTCTCTAGCTGTTTGAAATAAGCAACAAATTTTTGTTGACTGCGTACACTCCATTGTACAGTAGAACACTAGAACATATTCCTCCTACGAAACTTATTTTTTATCCATTAAAATCTTATTTTTATTGTATTTTTAAAAATATACATACAAATTAGAAGATTGAATTGTTTCAAAACATCCCCTGATGATGTAGGTAGTGTTGTGAACTATAGTGGAGGGAAGAATGGCACAGAATTCACATCTATGTCAATAAAAAATGAGACAAATTAGAACCCATGTAGCCTCAAAAGCTGTTTAGACAGTTCTGCTTGCATGCCTGCTTCCTTGAAAAGTCACAGAGTTCTTTGATGGCAAAGGGTAAGATGGAGTTGAGATTTGGGACATGTTTATGGAATACTTTAAAAATAACCACTAGCCAGAAAGAGAGATGCTGTTGTTTAGCCAGAATAACCAGAGATGGAGCAAAGTAGCTCCAGTCAGGACAGATAGCCTTTCCCTGCAGTGGAATGTGCTGACTGGCTTTGTCATTCTCTCCTTCCCTAGAGCAGTCCAATTCCACAGATATATAAATCTATGAGAGAGGGTCCTTTCTCCTTTAATCTCGTGTGTGTGTGTGTGTGTGTGTGTGTGTGTGTGTGTGTGTGTGTGTGTGTTTGCCTTTACATGTACATGTAGAAGCAGGAGGTTGACTGTCTTTCTCTATTGCTTTCTACCTTGTGTTTGAAGACAGTGGCTAGACTGGCCACTGATCCTGTAGGATCTGCCATCTCTGCCCCTGGTGGTGGGATTACAGATAAGTATTGCCATGCCTAGCTTTTTATATGAGGTCTGGCCTTCCCAAGTGGGGTCCCCATGTTTGAGCAGCAAATGCTTTACTCACTGAGCTGCCTCCCCAGCCCTGGATGTCCTTGTTAAGAAAAAGAATGGGAGCCAGGGACAGAAAAATGTGACTTCTAGCTCTGCTGGTACTTCGTAGCGAAGGAGAGAAAGTATGATCTGCAGCTTCTTGTGGTATAGGAACTAACTTTCCAATAGTTAAAAAAATAAATGGGGACTTGAAGACAACAAACATCTGTTCTTGTTCTAAAGCCTGCCTCAGTGTAGGTGAGAAGTGACGGAGACAGACATGAAGGGTGTGCGACAAACTAATGTCTTCTCATTAGTAGTGATTGTGGAGAAACTCCAGGTGTGTGGCACACTTGGCGTCCAAGGCAAGAGCCGAATAACCTTTGCTCTCCTCATATTCTCTTCCAAGTTCCCACTCACTTTCAGCCTGACACTCCTCCAAAAAAAATGTACTTGTCAAAGTCAGCAGGGACACTGAGGTTTTTAAAGTCAGAGGCGTGTTACCTAATCTTGGTTGATTTGGCCCTAAAGAATGTCTGACTGTATGGCCTCAATCACCCCTCCAGGACAAGTTCCCTGAGGGTCTCTTCCTGCAGGTTCTCCACCTTTAGTTCCCACTCTGGTTGATCCTCCCATGCTAATAGTGTTGGGGAGCCCTGGAATTCATTCTTCTACCTACATTGACTTGGCAGCCATCTTGAGATTCCCTCTGGTCTGTTAACCTCTCCCCTGGAAGCTTAATGGGTAGTTAAGACACATAAGCTTATGGGGGCCAATTGCAGCCAAATTGTCACAGATGACTTGGTATGGGTGTGTCCAGTATCTTATAACAGTAAGGGGAATATAAAAAGCAAAAAGAAACCCTCCTTGCTTGGAAAAAGTCTGGAATACTCATATTGGAAATGAGTTGTTGAAGGTATAATAAAAGATCATAAACTTGTACCAAATTCATAAATATGAAGTATATGGTATTGATAATTGAATTATCAGACAAACACTGATAAAAGGTCATGTAAAATTTGAATTTAAGTAAACATTGGAGAAGAAGCTAAAGAGAAATGACCTTAGTTAGAAGATCACATTTTGAAGGAGAGTTTGAACCCAGCAGTCACACAGGAGTATACTTTCCAATACTAATGAGCAGTTCAGGTAGTGGAAAAGACATTTCTAAGTTCTGGGTACAGTTTAATCAGTCACAAATGACTTCATGAATCAGGGCAGCAGTTAGTGAGAAGCACCCTTGCTCTGGGAAAGGAAGTAAGCTACTTTGGGAAATAAAGATTTTGTAGAAATTAATGTCTGAAATTATCCCGAGGCTTCCTGTGAGGCACAGATGTGTTTCCTAAGTTCTTTGTTCTGATGGATATGGAGATTATTTTTTTTGAACATCAATTTGTAATCATGCACATGCATAACAAAGGAGATTTCCAATGCAAGGCACTGATTGTGCCAAACTCCTTGCTAGATCCCATGTCCTTAATCATTCCATGTTGTTTGGGGCTCACCTCTCATATCCAGAGGTTTAATTCAAGATCCCTGCTGGGAGAGGTTCAAATGCTTTTATTTGGATGTGAGTGCCATGGGCCTTGACTTGCATTTGCTATAATTCCTGTCATAAAAAAATGATGCCACTGTGTTCTCCCCATCACATACTCTTATACACCCATGAGGTACAAAAATGTAATTGTGATTTCATTCACATTATGCCAGCAGGTGTGTCATGTTGAGACATGTGCGTAAAGCCATGTCTGAGCCTCTGGCTTGCTGCTGTGGGGGTTCTCCTCCCCCTAGTCATCTGACTCCTTACCCATATGGCATGTGTGTGGCTTACTGGCTTACCCCCTGTCTCCCATCTCCCTATCTGGCTTCCTGACCTCCCTCTCTTGAAAGAAGGATCCTGGGGCTCCTGCAACCATCTTTCAGTGTTTCTTAACACTGTCACACCTCTGTTGCCTTTTTGCTTTTTTGGGCTTCAGCTTGTTCTTCAGTGTTAAGATGTCGACTGTCTCTCTGTTGGAATTCCCTTAGATCCATTGATGGGGACTCTGCTGTTTCCTGCCAGCTCTGAGATTCCCTTTTCACATAACTTTAATTCCTTCCTCTGTAATCAATGCAGGGATTCTGCAGGTATCTGTGCACAACTGAAATTCAACTATACCATCCCAGAAAAGACCTTGAATCCCATGCCTCCTCCATGTAGGATGATGAATTGCAAGTTTACTTTTTTTTTCTGACTCTAGGAATATGGAAAAATAAATCCACTCCTTTTGTCTCAGACACTCAACCTCTTGCTTCTTACCTTCCCCTCTTTTTTTCTTTGGTTAAGCTAATTTTAGTTTATGTTTACAAGTGTTCTGCTTACATTCATGTACACACATGGCACGCACACGCGCACACACACACACACATCATGTTGAGACCTGAGTGTGTGTGAGTGTGAGTGAGTGTGTGTGTGTGTGTGTGAGATGTGTACACCTGAGGAGGCCAGAAAAGAGAACCGGGTTCCCTGGAGCTGTAGTCACAGATGCTCATGAGCTGTCACATAGGTGCTGGGAAGCCAACCTGGATCTTTTTAAAGAGTGGTAATCACTGTTAACTTCTGAGCTATCTCTCTAGCCCCCTTTCTACCTTTCTACAACTCTCTTAGGTCTCCTCAGACTGGGAAACTTGCTACTGTCTTTTAATTTTTCTTCCCACTCCCAGCAAGACATTTGTCCTATTGATTCTGTTTCTAAACATCTAGATTTATCCTCTTTCTTCATGCTGCCAGTCTTTATTCTGTGAAGTAGTCTGGCAGAGGAGTGATACCCATCCCAGACACACACCATTGCCTTTTCCTCAAGACTTTGTTTTCCATGGTTTTCATCCCCTGCCACCTACTGTGTTGTCTCTGAAAATATTAACTCAGAAATTGTAGAAAGCAGACAATAACTTTTACAGTGACTACTCTTCTGGGTGGGTGATGAAATCTCTGCTGTTCAGCTCCGTGTTTTTAGTACATTAACCTCTGTGTCCAGCACATCTATGTTGTGTATGCTGTCTGTCAGTAACTCATCAGATGCCCGTCACAGTATTGCAGTGCATGTGTTCAAGTAAACTTGATCTACCAATACCCCAAAGCATGAGCATAGTTATGGAAGGAAGTACAAACCAAAGAAGGATAGTTGAGCTCTGGAGTACTGTGTAGTAACATGACAGGACATGGAGGAGGAGATACAGCATAGAAGCATCCATATGTGTTCACTGGGAACTGGTTCCAGGACTTCACAGAAGCTCAAGTCCTTTGTACAAAATGGAGTAGACTGTGTGGAACCTGGATATCATCCTGTATGCTTTCAGTCTTCTCTACATACTTCAAATACTCAATGTAATGTAAATACCATGTAAATAGATATTATATTGTATCATCTGGGAGAGAGATGACAAGAAAATAGTTTGTACACATTGAATAAATAAGTAAAGGGTTTTGTACTGTGTAGAGTTTTGTTATGGCCTTCACCTCCTTGATGCTCAAAGATCCCTAGTTTCAGTGTGGAACTTCATGAGAAGGCTCTCAACTGTGTCTTTCCACATCTGTGTGCTGCATGGGAGAATTCTGACTGGAGGGTTGGTTTCCTTCTCCTGTTATCCTGTGAAATACCTTGCTGCTGTTTCTGCCTCTGTTTGAGCTGTTCATCTGCAGGATAACCTTTCCTTCCTCGTGGCTACCCATATCCCACTCACCTTTCATGATCCAACTCCAGTATTGTCTTTCCCAATGTCCCTTACTAGATTCCCCCATGCCGCTTCCTGTATGTTCTATTGTTAGCAACACACATTTTAGAATTTTAATGGGACTGATTTCATTTTACTACTTGAATGGGGTTTGTAATGATAATCTGGGGGACACATCCCAATTTACAAAGCATTATCATATTGTTGTGTAATAAAGCTAGCCAGATATTCTAGAGTTGGAACACACAGTCATGGAGTTGGATGTGGAAACAGAAGCTGGAGGTTATCTTTATTGAAGCAGTGCTATCTCAATATTTGAACTGTCAAGGTGCTTTCACTTGTTGCAAAACTTGGGTCACACCTTTTGTTGGTATTTCCATGACACATAACATTTTTCTTGTTGATAATGATGTGAAGGGCTTCATTGACAGCATGTAGCATTTAGAGTAGTAGATGCTTTAAGTAGTTAAGCACATGGTGTTTCAGCACATGCTTAAGTACATTTAGAATGTGCTGAAAATGGGTGACAAAAGTGAATCACTACCAGAAGGTAGTCGGTTGTGCCGTGCAAACATTTTCTGCGGATGGCTTGAAATCACAGTTGTCTGGTCTCTGAAATGTCCTCCCGTGGGTGCCTTGATGACACGATGTAGCCTTAACTGATAAAATACAGTATTCCCAGTATTTTGATTAAGGTTACAAACAAAAGAAAAGGAAGGAAGTTAGGAAGGGAGGTGGGCTGGGAAAGGGGAGAGAGGGAGAGAGGGAGGGAGGGAGGGAGGGAGGGAGAAGTAAATGCAGAATCTCCTTTTTCTTCTCACCTGTAGTGCTTGGGGTCCACCTGGGTTTCATCCATGTGTGCTTCACTTAGCCATATGCCCAGCTCTAGGGGTTTGTTTTTCTCCCTTAGTGCTGTATTTTTATTTATTTTTGTTGTTGATGGTGTATGATGTGTGTTTGTGTGTGTATGTGTCTATGGCGTTATATTTTGAACTGGGTTTTGATGCCAAAGATCAACCTAGGCCCTCAAGCGTGTTGTGTAAGTAGCGATCCATCATGGAACTGTATACCTTTGTGGCGTTCTGAAAATCATTTTCCTGAGACCAGTTCTAAATGTGACAGTTTGTCAACATTTTTGCTCTGAAAATAAATTTCAGAAGGAATTATACTTAGTTAATAACACAGGATTAACATTTTGCTAAAATGCTACCCAGAACTATCCTAGCTTGCTAGATTTTAGAGTTAATTTTCCCACAGAAGGTCTAACAATAGGATGAGTGAAAGACAACTGAAATCTTTAATGTTTCTTTTTAGATCCCAGTAGTGTGGTTTGGCCAAATGTGAGTATAAGAAAAATTCCCACTATTTATCATGCAAATTCTGAGAATCTTTGGAACGGACTGCACAGAAGCAATACCAAGAAGAAGTTACTTAACTTTTTCTGCTGCTAGTGGTCATGCGGGTGGCTTTTCTGACCTAGACATGATACAGAATTTCATTTCCAAATTCATATTTTAAGTTCATTGGCTGCTTTCATTTCTGTAGTTTTTCCTACTAGAATGGAAACAATTTGGTATTTAGTTATGAAAACCAAGCAGGAACACGGGGAAATTTACGTGTCTTTCATGTGTGCTGCACCCCATTTTCTTCTGAAAAGGAACCGGCCCCCGAGCTCTCTGCTTCTCGTACCTCCTTTTCAATTCTGCCTGTGTGTCTCTCTGAAGAACTCATAGATATCTCTGGCTTCTTGTCCATGTCTCCAGCCTTCCTGATTTGCAAAGGTGTGAGTTTTTCTGAGGAACAGGCAACGTTTATTTTATCCCCAACTTTCTGCAAACATTGTCAAGGTTCCTATGACCAGCTCAGCCCTTTCTACCCCAAACTCCCCAGTGTTCTTGGGACAGCTGCACAAGAGAGTGGCTGGTATCCCACAAGCCATGAACATGTCTTCAGACAGTGATGGCTTTCTCCAAAGTTGACAGTCACATGGCTTTATCTGACACAGCAGATTCGTTCCATTGGGGTGTGGGTTTTCTGTAGACTTTCCTGTTCTGTAGTCCTCTCTTTCCCAACCTCAGGATTTTGCATATGCTAAGAGAACATTTTGCAAGTGAGCTGTACTTCCAATCATTAAACACTTGTCACTTATCCTTTAACATTTGCTCACAATATTGAATGTAGCTAGACAAAACACCCTCACAGCTATACATTGTCACCTTTATGAATGCTGGTGGCTATTTGATTAAGTTGTTGACTGTTTTCTGTCTTGTTACTAACTAGAATTCTTAGTGTTTTGGAAAACACTAGTACACCTTACTCTGAGCACTTTGCACAGTCCTATGGCTACTCTGCACTTGTTACATTTTATTTATGTAAGTAGCCTATAAACTGATCCAGAGTCTAATCTCTACTTTGTATGTGTTCCCTTTCTCATCAACTGCCCAATTAGCAAGTTTCATTTTGTAAAGTGTCTATTTAAGAGGTATATTTTGATTGATCTTTTAGAAGTCCCAAGGCAGGGCTCCTTCCAAAGTTCTGAAATAATTGTGGGATTTAGGCTTCATTATTTAAACCAAGAAAAAAAAGGGGGGATGTCCTTTTAATTAAACATTCCTTCTAAATTATTAACAGCTTATTTGAAGCATTTCATCTCCTCAGAGCTATTGTTTTTTTAAACTTTTGTTTTGCAAATAGCCTGAGAAAGAAAATCATTTTTGTTTTCTCTAATGGTAAAAGAAAGGGCCCTAATAACCCACTGAAGTTTCTATGTAGATGAACATAGCAGAGAATGTTAAACTTCAGTGAATCACTTGTTACGCTACAACTAATAAGGCAAACGAATAAGGGTGTGTGTAAAAGAATGGTCTGGGGCACATACTCTCTACTTGGATGAGGCACATGCTTATAGTTACCACATATAATTTACTAAAAGGAAAATTAATGGCGACTAACATTGCATCTGTATCTTCATATCTAATCAACTTAAGGAATTCCTTTGTTCTTCATTTCTTTTGTGTAATACTTGTACTATCTCTTCTAAAATTGTTATGATAACATAACTGTCTAGATGAGTCAGGTTTGATTGTTTTCAGTCCCTGTATACGTACTTACATGCCAGTACCATATGGAAAAGCTTGACTCCACATTTCCCACTTTTTCCTTCTTTTCATTTTTGATAATGTGTAGTTCTGGTACCCAAGAAATGAATGACAAGGAGATTTAAATCAATAGCAGATGTCCTCAAAGCCCGTGGCTTGTGTTTGTGATCATTAACTGTGAAGAATCAGGATACATAAAAAGATTAAAGGGTCTTTCCAAGAACCAAGCTTAAAATATATCTATTTACAAATAAAACAAATGCCATGAATGCTCTGTGTGGCCTGATCTCCTTTGGTTGTTAGTATGCTTTTAAAATAGTACTATGAGATGTCAAGCATTTTCCCATTCACTTATTTACCCTGTATGGTTATTGAGCCTTTTCCATGAGGTGAACACCACTAGGGATAGTGCTTTTTCACGGAAGGAACTGCAGTCTACTAGAAATAGCACAGATGTGGCAGGTACTCACTATGTCTTCTTCCACATAGATGTAATTCGGTCAGGGCAGCTCATTCTGTCTACAAGAGTCCAGTATGTGAGACAAGAAAGCACATCCCGGGGTGACTGCAGCTGGAAATGAAGGCTAACTTGTCGGAGAGACAGTTCACAGTGGCAGTTTCATCTGGATCACTGTGAGTGTCACTAGATGTCTGGCACAGAGGCACTTTGCGGGCAAGGCTTTACTTGGTCAGAACAGAGATGAGTTCCTTTTGGTTTGAGTTAAGTGGATACCAGGATAAAGAAAAAAAGACAATAATGTTGGTGACCATTCTCACTGCAAGAATTAAAAATTCAGCCTTCTCCTAGGGTCAGTGATCTCTTTTCATTTGGAGTGCTATGATAATATAGAAACTTTAACTCTTTTGTGGAATTGGCAAGAATTTGAGGAAAGGTAGACTTTGGAGTAGCAGTAAAGAATAAAGTTAGGTATTCTAAGAAAGAGAGGGATAGGAACAAAACAAAACAACTAAACAACCAGGCCATAAAACAAACAGTAACAACAAAACCAAAGATCCCAAGCCAAACAAAAACCCAAACCCAGCATGTTTTCAGAGCAGTAAGACTAGCTAGTGGTTGAGGGCACCTGGTGCTCTTGCAGAGGACCCATGTGGTGATTCCCAGCCATTGCTAACTTCAGTTCCTGGGGATCTCATGCCGTCTTTTGACCTCCATGGATATCTGGCGCATGTGTGGTGCACATACACACATATATATGTGAAACACTCACATAAAATAAGTAAATCTGAAGTCAGACCAGTGAGTGGCCCGAGAGAGCTATGACCTGGGTTCAGTGAGAGCAGAAACTGGGAGGACACTTCTGCGGAGGTCCATGGGAGCACACTTCTCTACAGTTTCACAGGAGGATGCTTCTGTACAGTTTCACGGGATCATTGAACCTGGCTTTCTTCACCTGTTTGTCTCTATTCATGATCTGGGTCAACCATAAAGGACAGACAGATGTACAAACTGTTAAAATGCTAAGTCATAGTGGTAAAAACAAATGCAGTGTTGATGAGGAAGAAAGGACATCCTGAGAATCAAGTAAGCCAAGTGTGGGGAACATACCTACATGACTAGCACGCAGGAGACAGAGCCAGGAAGATGGCCACAAGTAGGGGACTAGCCTGGTCTATGAAGTAAATTTCAGGTGAATGATGAAGTGGCACTCTGTCTCACCACAGCCATTCCTTTTCAGGACGGTAGGTGGTGGGTTGGGGGGAGGGAGGGAGCGAAGAGAAATTTAAAGGTTCGAGTTCAGAATCTCTAGTTCATAGTCCCTGTGAAAAAGACATGGAATGATGCGCATGTCTAATCTAAGGAAACAGGGTTGTAAGTTGGTCACAGATATCAGGAGCCCTGTACAGAGGGAGGTGGCAGGCTTCCCCACCCTCAACCCAGGCACTTCATTTGGCTCTAGATGTCAGTTCCTAACAGTCAGTGGTAGGTATCTGGGACACTAAAAAGTCTGGGAACAATATTGCAGGCAAAACATAATTGAACAGAGACTTTTTATGCCTTAATTGAGTTACAGCAACCAGACAAGTGGCCGGGACAAGAGTTGTCTGGAGGAGAAAACCACCACTAAATAAACTACAAGTCTACAGAGGGAGGTTTTCTTCTACGGCGAGAACAGAAGCATGCCTTTCAGATGCTTTTGTGATGAGTTCCCTCTGACTAAGAGTCACGGTGGAGGACAGAGGCCATCTTCGCAGAGGCGCTTTCAGCCATGCAGGTCTCACCCACAGTCACCTTCATGTCTCTAGTTGTCTGGAAGGGTCAAATACAGTCCTGATCCTTAAGATTTGTAGGAAGCAGATGGTCCTGCCTGCATGTATGTAGGAGTGCTGAAGCCAGGAAGTCTTAGGCATGAGTACGGCCATGTGTA